ATTCAGCATACAGGAATTACTGAAGAAAATGTAAAAATTTCAAGACAGTAAAAACCATCACAGGCTTATGTAATCAAATATGTCTAAAATAAATTCAATATTTGTAGATCCACAGGCTTTACAATAAATTTATAATGCATCAGAACTGGAGTCTCTTTAGACCCCTATCAAGACGAGTTTAAAACAACTACTAAACAAACGAAAATATTACAGTCATTTAATACTTCTGGTACAATCAACCTTTTCGTTACTAATTACAGCCAGAAATACTGTCAAGAGCTGTCAACAAAAATTCAATGTATTCTAATCATTCTACATTTCAGTTTTCTGGTGTACTGATCTATAACATTTAAAAACTTCTAGTCAGCTTCTTATACAAGATTGTCTTCATTAATTTATAAGTTACTTTTTTAATTCATTTTAATTACGAATTTTCATCAAAAGTTTAATAGTGAGTATTCCTGCTCAACACTATTGATCACCAAATAGTTAGCTACATGTAAGTTTAGTCCAACAACTGGTTATCCAGACTTGTATGTATATTAGTTTGTTGTTAAGCGCAAAGCTACACAATGGGCTATCTTTATTCTACCCACCGCAGGTATCAAAACTTATTTTTAGTGTGATAAGCCCTCAGAATTACAGCTGAGCCAATATGGGGGGCAGGCAATTATATTAATACAAGAATAAGTGTCTTATTGGAATTCAAACATCTGAGTTATTTGATATTGGACTGTCCTAACTTCTAATGATCCCCAAAGAAAATAATTATAAAACATTATTATAAGTATACACTCAAAACTAAGTTTTTTATTTCCATATATATATATACCTTTAATAAAATACTATTAACAACATTTTTTTTTCCCTCGTTGTGATCCTCGTTGAAGTTTGACAGTACTCTCTCTATTCTGTTGTTGACGTTCCTTTTGTTCTTTTTTCGTATTCAAAACCATTTTTGTGATGGCATTGAACATCTGAAACATGAAATGACATTGAAAAAAGACAATGTTTCTAATCAAGTTAACTAATCACAAAGGAGAAAAATAAATTTACAAAGACATTATGTATAATACCAATTACAAGTCAAATAGGCCTGAAAAACAGGTAGCATGAAATTCTAACCTGGTAATCAAAAATTACACTGTAAGAAAATTTACAATTACCCCCTATGTTTTGGTCAAGTCCATTACTAATTTTTAAATACTTTACTACATTTAGTAGTGTTTAAGGTTACCTACAAGTACACAGAAAATAATTTGAACCACTGAGTGAGGGAGGGAAATACCTAAATCATTTATGTCAGAAATAAAAACAAGGAATAACAAAATAAATGCATAAGCTTCAACTTATAACAAAGTTTTTGAAATACGAAAAACAGCATAATAATAAAATAAATGCAAGTGACCAGTCCTTGTAGATTAGAACATTTTAAAGATCTGAGATATGTTATCTACTGAAAGTATATGTGTATTTAAAGGATTAATCAGTTTGAAATGTTCATCATTTTTTTTGGAAGTTTTCTCAATATCATCAAAATTTTTCCACAATGTTCTCTCAATATGAGTTACATTTAAAAACTATTTGGTATCTTCCATCTAAAGCTAATTTTACCATCAAGATTTCAAGTGTCTTGAAATTAGCAATACACAGACATAAAGGACATTTTAAAATCTTCAAAATTTCTAAAAATGAAACAAAACAAATTAAAAAATATATATTTCATTTCAGCTACCATGTTTAACTGTTTGTTTAAATTTTGCTACAAGCTACCCAAAAGCTATCTGTGCTAGCCATCCCTAACATTGAAGTGATGAATCAAGATAGAATCCCACACACTACCAATTCTTGGGCTACTCTTTACCAACAAATAGTAGAATTAGCCATCACACTATATCTCCTCGATAGTTGAAAGGACAAGCATTTCTGTGATAGATTGCTATTCCACAACCTTCAGATTACAATTTGAGCACTGTAACCACCAGGCCATGCCAGGCTCATCTTCCATCAACTGGCCTGACTTGAAGCCTGGTCACTTAGGAAGGCCAACCAACACAAAGAATGAACACAAAATAAAAGTACACTGCACCATAAATATAAAAATAAGTAGAAAAATTATCTGTGGTTTATGCTTATGTCTTCTTAGCTTTGAATTTTTTCTCAATAGATAAAAATATGATGATGTTTAATTGCTCCTAGATATGTATGTATAACAAAAATATTTATGGAAGTTCTCTGATGAACATTTATTACTTTAGCTTTTATATCCCACACATCAATCACAGAATTTTGATTCTCAAAAAATGAAACTGATAAACAAGAACAAGCTGTTAAGGAATTGTACAGTAAGCTTTTATGCATAACCAGAACAAAAAGTGTAATTTTAGAAAATAGTCCTCTGGAGAATGTTATTCATATACCAAAAATTATCTAAAATGTTAAACATTTGTCAGAAAATAGGTTATAGTTTAAAATATAAAAAAAATACGAACACACTGACTTTTTTATGTTCAGTAACAGCAAAAACAAAAATGCTCAATAATGTATGTGTGTGTGTATATATTGAAACTTAATTTAACAAATTAAAAGAAGTGTAACAAAACAAAATTTATTAATTATAAAAATGTTACCTATACTCTACTTTGTCTGTCTTCAATAACATTACTTATTCACATGTTAATACGACTGCCTGGTGAAATATTTATGTGTGGGCAAGTAAAATATAGAACTTTTGTTTATCGATCGATATTCATTGTTATTGGTGATCTTACTACCAACAAATAGTAGAATTGACTATCACACTATATCTCCTCGATAGTTGAAAGGGCAAGCAGTTTATGTGACGGATTGCCATTCCACAACCTTCAGGTTACAATTTGAGCACTCTAACCACCAGGCCATGCCAGGCTCATCTTCCGTCAACTGTGATAGATGTGAGGAAAACATTTTACAGACGTGAACACTTTTTTTGCCCTATTTCTAGTGTACTTTAATCTACATGCACTATTTTTCACCCATATCACCCTAAAACGTTTTCTGCTTTTTTTTCACAATTTGTCAATATGATAGTCAAATTCGATGACGAGGAACCCACTTTGAGACGGCTTGAATGGGTAATGAAGAAAAACTTTAATATAAGTTCGACATAACAGCAAATGTACAACTTTTTGACAAGGTTTTGTACATGATGATGACAAAATCTTG